ATCATCCATCCATCCATCCATCCATCCATCATCCATCCATCATCCATCCATCCATCCATCATCCATCCATCATCCATCCATCATCCATCCATCATCCATCCATCATCCATCCATCATCCATCCATTGGAAGTTCGACTTGTTTGCATAGTTTTGTCTTTTATTATTGTAAAATGTGTTTTTTTTTCTTATCAGATACATTTAAAGTCATTTTCCACATGATTTAAAACCACTTCAATCACCTTGGACACTTCTTTTACTTTTTCATTTTTAATAATTTAAATTTTTGTACTTTTATACTAAAATTTTAAATGTTCCATTAGCGTAGAGCTTCCTCTTAAACATTCTTTATTTTTTTTACATCTCTGAGCTTCTGCATGGATCCATTTGCCTCTCAGCTGACGTTGGACAATAGAGTTATTTCTGTTCTATTCTATGCTAATAATCCCATTGGGTTGATGCTAACTGGCCACTTGATGTTTTTCTAATTTTGATAGAAGCCTCACAAGTGGATTCTTCAATTAGTTTGGCTGAGCAGAACATGAATAACAGAATGAAAACACATACAAACAGCCTTAGGTTCAGGAAGACTGACGTTACATCAAGATAAAATGACATGAATTAAAAAAAAAATATTTTCATCATGAATACACAGTTCAACCTAAAGTCACAGTAATTTTTTGGGATTAGTCCTAAATTTAAACATCACCCGACCACATTATTATCTGACAACTACTACCTGTCTGATTGTGTGGCTTTAATTAAACAAATACAGGCTTAGTCATCAAAGATTAATAAGGAGCAATAAAATGTGTGAGGAAAACACAAAAATCCACCTGCAACAAGCAGGCATGTTGCTGGTGATGTATAAGGATTGCTTGCTCAAAATATGGATGGTGAAAAGAGATTCAGTCTGCTCCGTTAAGATGAGCACTTTGCATCTGCCACTGTCAGTTTGCAACAAACAAAGTTCATAAAATAAAAAATAAAAAACAGAGAATACTGAGTTAGACAAAACCACCACATCCACAATGTTGAGTTTAGGCAAAAAGCCTCCAGCTGGAGGGAAAAGTCAGGATGTTTCTTCTTTAAGTCAACAACCATATCAGTAAATGGTCACATTTAGGGCAAAGTGTCCGAAAAACTAAGGAGGATATTTACCCAGCCCAATATTTCACTGCATTTCAAGCTTTTAGATGCGCTGATTTACCCCAAGGATAGGATTCCCAAACACTCTGTAGACAGCCTATTGCTAAAGGATATACTCTGGCTTCTATTCTGGAAAAAACCACACATGCCCATGGGCATTACGGACAAGAAAGATTGGAAGCTTCAGAGATGGGTTAAAGAAGTTCTATATGTTGAAACTGGAAAAACAATAAATAAATAAAATAATAATTATATATATATATATATATATATATATATATATATATATATATATATATATATATATATATATATATATATATATATATATATATATATATTATATATATATTAAACAGAGGATAAACAGAAGAAGTGGCTTACACTTTGTAGGGAAATCATATTTAAATGTCAAGGCTTTAACGTATATAAATGTACTCTTTATCAGACGATATTGTTCCAAAATTTATTGCATAAAACATTCAAGCCAACACTAATACCTTAGGATCAGTCTCTAATAAAATAGAAAAACTAAGTAAATGTAATTTAGCTTCTGATCAAGATTTAAGTTTTTCACAGAAAGCGTTTTTAAGACTCAAAAAACTCATTTAAAGAGACTTTCTCTGAAAACCAAATTTTAATGCGAATTACTGCTTTAAAAACCTAAAAATAAATCAGATTTCAGAGTAAGAATTCTATCAGTTAAAATGCAACTAAAACTGATTATTAAGAAAGTTATGTAGAGAACAAGAAAAAACAACACGAATATAACGTCAGGAAGCAGGAAATTATTTTTTTCATGTCATTTTTTTTTCAGCCTGTAACATTTCTGAATGATTTGAACTTTTAATTGTTAGCAAATTAGTACAGTTAGTACTACTTGGGCATGAATCCCTTTAGTATATATATATAGTATATAATACTATTTTTTTAAAACAAAAATTGTTTGCGGTGGAGCTCGTCTCATTTTGCATTTGCAGAAAAACATCAATCATTTTGAGCTGGACTGTAGGATTAGAAGTAACTGAAACTCTTTAATGAAACAATGAAGCAGAGGAAGAGAGGAAAATCCTTCCCTGACAGAATTTATAACAGCAGTTAAAGCCCAGGTGTTGACATATAAAATCTGTCATCCTCTGACAGAAGCATGTTGATTCATCGCCTTGACATTGGAGTTATCATGAGCATCATCACAGGATTCTGCAGGATGACCCTAATGCACCAAATGTAAGATTAAAAGCTCCCAATGTTTTTCAGCTGCAGGCAAATTCTCTTTTTGTCTCTTATCTATGTATTGACCTTGCTCAATGCACCCCCTCGCCCCCCCACCCCTTGGAACCGATGACATGAGATAGTGTAAGGTCGGGATAATTGCATCAATTTGACAGAAAATAGGCCAAGCCATACTTCCATGAGAGGAAGGTTAAGCTTACTTGTCTGCTGAAAACGACATCAGTTTAGCATCTGTTGACCTGATCGCCAACAGCAGCGCTGCGGCCTGCCGCTCCCACCATACGGTAATTAGTGCTCGCCGTGTTGTGCCGCTTCTGGAGGATCCATGCTCAGACATGTCTGTGCAAGACGTTGCGTCAGATAGTGGCGTATGCAACCGCAAGGTCACAGTTCAGCCGAACTCAATTTGGTTTGGCAAATTGACAAGCAAGCAAATTTGAGGAAAATTGAGGCCAGTCATTCTTTTAAAGCTAAAATCAAGGGGACATTCAAAGGTCCTTGGAGCTACACTCTACAATATCCTCTAAGTGTTGCAGGGGTGAAAGGAACACCTTCTCTAACCACGTTATAATCCTGAGGCCCATTAGTCAATGACAGAGTACAGTTGTGCTGCTGTCATTTTTTCAATGCAGCCATACATCTTCATGGGCTCTTGTATAATAATGCTCACCACAGCACTGGAACACCACATAGGCAAAAAGACTGAATTTTCCTGATCTGACCTAGCCGTCATACGCATGGAAAGGGTTTTTCACTTAAGGCTGTAATTTCTAATTTGCTTTAGAGTAAAGTGGCCGGCACTGAGACAAGCCTACATCACAATTTGATTAGACGAACCCCAGTGTGAGTTAAGCAGCACGAGTTAAGGCGAGGCCCGTCCTCGCTCTACAGTAGAACAACCTAAATCAGGTCAGGTTTCTTAATTGTAGACCAATCAACCTTTACTAATGTAATGTCACTTTTATTTAACATGAATAAATGAGAAATCTCTTGGCTGGAGGAGCGTGCTGAGTGAGAGGCAGCGGCGGAGCCGGCGTGGGCATGATAGGAATGAACCGTTTGATCTGCTGAATATTAATGCTCCTACAAGATTATAGGGATTATTAGTTCTTTTCTTGGCTGACAATGGGGTTATTTTCAGAAGCCATCGATTAAATTGCTGAGGGAATTGCTTTTGACATGAGCCAACATGAGGGGCTACTTTTGGAGTCAGACTGGCTCTAATTGGAAGCCACTCCTCAATCACTTTATGTTATTAGTTCTCAAATCGCATGAGAGATTCAGATGAGGATACAGTTTAAGGCTTTATTTCCAGTCTCACATCATTCGGTTCTACTGGTGAACCTCTAAATGCCTAAAAAGGGTTACAGTAGGAACATCACCTCTGCTATAAATCAGCTGTTTATGTAGAAACCTTTATTAGCAATAAAATAAGCTCATCTTTCACACATCCTTGGATGTTTCTCACATCCCTCATGGAAATGTTGAAATCCTTTTAATAAACGTCCCTCTGATGTTACCAGAACAGCATTGCTGGTACATTGCCAACATTTGCCATGGAATGAGTATTTTTACTCTTAAAATAAGAAAGTTAGATAATATGCACTTGAAATAAGACAATTTTTATATTTTTTTAAATGTAAATTGTCATTTATCAGTTTCAAAATGTCTCACCTGCTCAATTCAAGAAAAAAAAAACACTTATTTTTAGAAAAATTAATATTGCACTGCAAAAATATTAATATAAAAGTCGTTTTTTTCTTAAAATTAGTGCATTTTTGTCTTAAATTGAGGAGGTAAGTGAGACACTTTGCCAATGGAACAAGACAATTTACATATACGTTAAGCAAAAAAAAAAACATTTGCATTGTCTTATTTAAAAGTGCATTTTATCTAAACATCTCATTTTTAAACAGTAAAAAAAAAAAATTTAAATCTCATTTCATCATCTTATTTACCTGTTCAGAATAAGATTAAATACACATAATTTAAAACGTGTTGACTTATTTCTACATTGTTTTGCAGTGTGAGACTTTATTTTGTTGACTGGGTTGTTACCGTTCCCTGATTCTGCTCCTTTTCAGACATCGTTATCCTCTAAAAGTCACCAAATTAGTCTAAGATTCAGCTGTTAGACAAATGGCGTCACATTTTTTACTATTCTGTCTTTTGCCACGCAGGTAGGATTAAGGTAGGCAGCTGCAGAGCGGAGAGGTCCCATGGCTGGAACCAAAAATAGCATGTCTGACATTTTATAGATGATCTTCAGCTGATGATGCTTTTCACCAGAATGCGACCATTTAGTTTCTTTCACCTCACTGGACGCAGTGTAACGTTGTTTGGTCTAATTTTGGCACGGCGCAGCATAAAATGAAGTCTTTTCCTGGTGAAAACAGAACTGTGATTGCTTTCAGACCACAACTGTAATGTTTCCAATGTTAGTAAGAATCTCATTCATTTCATGAACTAAATTAGAAACCTTTGTTGAAATGAAGTGATTGCTTTCAACATGCTAACCCATGTTTTGTCTTTATTTTTCCCCAGATGGATTCTTTCACGTGACAGACCGTTGTTGATGCGACTGAACATGTGTTTGTGTTTTTTCTGTTGATCACCACAGGTTTAGTCCCTACGAGTGGTATAACCCCCACCCCTGCAACCCTGACTCTGATGTAGTGGAAAACAATTTCACCCTGCTTAATAGTTTCTGGTTCGGAGTTGGAGCTCTCATGCAGCAAGGTAGACGCCTCTGCCTGCTCCTTTTTTTCTAGCACAAGTCCCACTTTTTTGCTGGGGGTCAAGCATTGTGTTTGCCCAGGCCTGTGACCATGCATGGGGGCCTCTGTGCATGTAGGTAGATGCCTCAGAGGTTGTCCAGCAAAATGGATTGCGTAGATTGGAAGTGATGCATTCAATGAGTCTGTATGGTGCTGCTGCATGCTTCCATCTCCATTTGGTTTAGATTTCTCTCCCCACCTATCCTCAGCCTCATGGTCAGGTAGGTACACAAGCCAGAGTATTAGGCTACGTTCACACTGCAGCCTGAAGTGACCCAATTCCGATTTTTTTGCCCGTATGTGACCTGTATCTGATCTTTTTATGACAGTCTGAACGACACAGATCGGATTTTTTCAAATGCGACCCAGGCCACTTGGATATGTGGTCCTGAATCCGATACGTATCTGATCTTTTCAAGTGCGACCTGTGTCTGAACGGCCAGGTCGCATTCATCCGACCTACACGTCATTGATACTTGACAAATGTTACTAAATGTTACTAATCTGCGTCCTACTAAGCGGAGGCGCGAAAAACTAACAACCATTGTGGAAGATAACACAGAGAGCAGTCAATGGAGAGAAAGTGAGGTTGCTGACTTAATTAATATTTGGAAAGATAGCTCGATTCAGACCAAACTCGAAGGGTCTTACCAGAACCTGGCTCTCTTTCTTTTTGATCTTCTTAAAAAGATTTCGTTCGTAATGTGCCTGTTCCTGTTGGGGAAGAACTTAAAGAACGCAATATACGCTGCGGTATTACGAGTCATGTTTACTTCCGCAAACACTGAGGACGCTTGCTACATGTGACGTCATCGCGTCCTCGAGTGCGCATGCCGGACACTTCGGTTGAACGCTTTCAGTTCACACAGTAGATCACATACAAGTCGCATATACTTGGAAGTGTGAACGGACACGCAAAAAAATCCGATTTCACAAAAAAATCGGAATTGAGCATTAAGGCCTGCAGTGTGAACGTAGTCTTAGAGTATCTCAGCGATGAGAGAACAAGATGGCAAATTATTTAACGTACAAAAATGAGAATTAAATCAGTAAATACAGAACTAAATAGACATATATTTGAATGTTAAAAATTTGTACTGTTCTGTATATCTATGGGACTGTTATGCTGTGTTCACACCTGGTGCGTTCCGGACATCAAAGCATCAGGTTTACATGTAAAGTCTATGAGGGGACTTTACAAAATGTAACTTTTGCTGACACTACCAGCAAGCTGTCTTTGTTGCTGCAAACATTCTGCAAATGAAGAATAAATCAAAGCTGGAAGGATGGATTGTTAAAACCTGCCGACAAAAAATACTGGATTGTATATTCCGGTACTTGCAGTTTTTACTACAAACCTTAAAGGAAAAGTTCGCTCATATTCAGAATCCAAACTTCTGAAAGTTCTTTAAATCTGAAATGATTCCATCCTGTTCAATAAATGATCAGTGTTTTTAATTCAGAGTAATTTTCATGTGAATGTGCTTTACTGGAGGCATCCATGTTTGTCAAAGAACACTACTGCCACCTACTGGTTAGTGACATTGTCACGGTGCGGTATCGGCTGTTGATCAAGTCCCAGTGCTGTATCTGGTGTTTGTCACAACGCGCTATTATCCAAGTCATCTTGAAAACATTCTTCTTCCAAATGTTGGCTACATATTACGGGTTTTTTCTCTGGCCAGAAGTTCGATGGCAAATCCTCCCTCTTCAAGTTGGCGATCCAACGACCAACCCGTCCGTGGAGGATCAGGAATCAGAAAGGTGGAATAACTCTTTTTTTCACTTTTACCCGATGTATTCCAGCATCCAGCTGCCATGCACGTGGGCATTGTCAGTTTCACTATAGCTCTGGTGCATTTCAATGGTGAAGTCCTCTGGAAATCTTCAATAATTGTTGTTGATTGCAGATGTGTCTAGTAGTTCCCATTGATTTAGCTTGGAAAGCGGGGAGAATGGCGCTAGGCTTACCGCACCGTGACGTCACTGGTGGAAGATGGCAGGAGGGAGGGGCTACTATATTTGGGCAAAAATTCCTGTTCAGTTTTTATTTTTTTTAATGATTATTAGTTTCAGGTATAAATAATGATCCATTGAGCATTCCTTGCTGTTTCTTTAAAAACTCTTTCTATTCTCTTCCATCCACTATGAACGGCAGCAGGAAATCCCCCACAGTCTGGGAGCATCAGAGAGCTTTCAGCGGGGATTACCAGCGCTGCCTCCAAACAAGTACTTCATATTTTAGTGGGATAATAATCCAGATGAACAGAGGATGGTTAGAGGTGGACTTTCTTGCTGAAAAACATGCTAAAACTAAATTTCCAACTCAAAAAGTAAATAAAGCCATGCTGCTCTCTGGTTTGAGCAGATAAACAACCAGAGGAATCAAAGACACTGGGCCACCATTTGATCCAGCATCCAAATTTCCGTGTTTGTGCGTTTTTGATGCCCCTAATGCTTTTGGTGTGGACGCAGCATTAGGTGGATGTTTGTTTTATCTAAAACAGTTTTAATTCTATCCTACAATTGATTTAATCTGATATTGTTTAATGTATCCCTAAAATTTTAGTATTTATTTCAGTTTCACTGTTTTGCTAAAGGCTTGCAATCATAAACTTCTGCCAGAGTTTATTAATGTCATCTCTGAATTACAATGACCGTTATTATCTTCATGAATGCATCATCAGTGATACAACTTCTCTCCATCAGCAGTTAATTAAAATAATGCTACTAGTTTTCTGCATATCTAATGTAGAGGTCTTGGTTTAAATTGCAGCATATTGTCTCAGGTAGTGAGGATACCTGCTGGGCTGACCAGCAGGTATCCTCACTGTGGAAGAAGCCTGGACAAGCACTTAATGTCTGCATGACAGAGTCACCATCGACACTGTAGAGAGGCTCCCCTGTGTGGTGGCTTGGCATGCCCCCCTACCCCCCCAGAAATCTGTGGGACGTGCTGTTTGGTCTTGACGTTACCTTGGGTACATGACAGTCAGCCCCAACCAGGCGCTGTTTGGGTTCGAGCCGGTTGCTCTCTGTTTTCTGCTCTGGTTTCTGAAGTGGAACTGGATAAAAAGCTTGAGGATGGTAACATGTTCCACTTTTGACCTCTGGTGTGCGAACCGTGCAAGTCAACCTGCAGAGAAAGCGATGAGTTTTGCTCCAGTCCTGCCGGTTACTTTGATCTTTCCTCTTAGGTTGAAGCCAATGGGCAGAGTGGGAAGCTGGTGGTAAAGTTAAGAAACTTGGATGAAAGTAAAGTTTAATTGGAAACCAGCTAAAATAATCCTTTTATATGATTCAAGATGATGATCAAACTTAAAAACGAATTAAAGATGTTTTTTAAACCCATAAAATATATTATAAATGACTACATAAGTCATTTGGTCAATTTATCAAAACTGTTATTAGCAACATTTACTAAATTTAAGGCAAAATAATAACAATGCAGAAACAACAAACCTGGAAGGTACAGTGTTGCTTTAAGGAGCTGATTATCTGGCTTCAAAGAAAGTCTGGAAACTTCCAGACTTTCTACTATATATTTTAAGCCCACTGCATCCTTCACAGTGCCAGCTCAAAGCTTTTCCCCAAAACCTCCTTAAACTGAGACAACAATAATCCCATCATCAGTCGTTTACCTACAATAACATCAAAAAATGACTCGTTAAACTCCAAATTAAGTCCAAAAATATGCTTAAGCTGCTAAAATATAAGCGATAACATGACATATGCAACAACAAAAAGTCACCAATGTGCAAAAAAAAAAAAAAGAAAACAACTTCGTTAAATGTGGAAAATTGCAGTTTCATCAAAACAAAACAAAATATTGAGTCCAAGATAAGAAAATGATAAGAAAGTATTCCACCCTGGTTTATCCTCCAGCTAGCGTTCATTATTCACCTGAAATCAGTCGGTCAAAATATAACTAAGAAAAAAGCCAAAATAAGGGCTTTGAATAAATAAAAAGTAAATGGTTCCAAATTTTTCTGAAAATGAAGTAATCTTTATAGATAAAAAACAGACAAATCATTAAAACAATGGAAACAATAAAAAGGGTTTTGACAATAATGTTCTTTGCTTGGTTGCCTTTTAAAAAACGGAGCCCTTTTTAACAATGTTGTTACGTTATTTATCCTCACAGATAAGAAGACTTTATAAAGGATAATTAAAATCTTACAGTCTAATTACTGTCTTTGCTAAAACAACACTAGAAAAACATTCTTTAGGGAGAAATTTTAATTTACTCCATTTGGATCATTTAACTATCTGAATTCAAAGGCTGTGGGAACATCAGACGCGGGTTGACCTGATAAATTTCGTGATTCCATTGAACGCAACGTACGGACGTCAACACGCCGTGCCAGTCGCTTCTGATCTAACAAGCAGAAATAACTCTGTTTACATTGGATAAACATGGAGCAGCTCTGGTGACACGGATTCCGACAGAAACAATAAAGAACACTGGCTCTGCCCTGGCTTTCTTCCATGTCGCTCTCCATTGTTTACTTTCCTCCAAATGCCGATTGTTAACAAGTCAACCCATGTTTGAAAATGGTAAATGGCCTGTACTTATAGAGCTTTTTCAAGTCAGGAGACTTGACCAAAGTGCTTTACACTTCATTCACCCATTCACACACTGATGGTGGTGAGCTACATTGTAGCCACAGCTGCCCTGGGGCTCAGTGACAGAAGCGAGGCTGCTGTACCCTGCCGCCACCCGGCCCTCTGACCACTATCAGTAGACAATGCATGTGAAGTGCCTTGCCCAAGGAAGCAACGACACTGAGAGCCGGAGCTTGAACCAGGGCTTGAACCATCAACCCTTCAATTACAGAGCAAACTCCTACATCCAACACGTCTGTTGCCCCCTGCATTAACCTACGTTAACCAGGTATTTTCAGTGAGAAAGAGGCTAAAGTGTGTAAAGCTAGTTGATTTAGCTCTAGTCCTAATTCTGCTTCATCCATCGAATGGATCTCGTTAAAACGAGGAGCAGCCATTGTTAGCCCAACCTGAGTGGGTCATTTGGAAGGAGAATAATAACCTCACTACTATAGCTTTCAATCACTCCATTGTTTCTGTCCTGCTTTCAGAGCAGAGTCTGTGCCTTCCAGCAGCAGTTATTGAGGTGAGGCGGTGTACACCCCAATTCCTGAAGGAAGCCAGAGTACCCAGAGAGAAACCAAGCATGCAAAGACAGAACATGTGGAAGGGACTTGGATGGGATTTGAAACAAGGACCTTCTTTTTGGGCATTTCTGAGCAATCTAAGCTCCTCGGGATAAACTTTAAAAAACATGAACCAGATCAATGGGATCTGTTCTGTTTCGCTTTGCTGGAGTCCTGTTCTATTTCCGAGTCATACTGGCTGTAGAGATAACAAAAAGACGCAGGCGCTTTTATTCCTGTGGCAAATATAACTGTAAACACTGTACTATCAACTAACTGTCAACATTTGAACAAGACAGAACCTGTACAAGCTTTGTACACACAGTCAGCTTATAGCACATACAGGTCAGTTTCCCTGGGATCGCTGAGAACAGTGTGCTTCGTCTAATGTGCTTCTCCAGTGTCTGGAACAGCAACGCATTGTTAGCCATCCCTTTCCTTGCATTCCCCCCCCCCCCCCCCCCCCCCCCCACCAGTCAGCTCACTCAGGGGACGATAGGAGAGAGAGTTTGATGAGAAATGAGGGAGCAAATGGAGGATCAGAGCACAGAGTTCTTAACCTTGTATCTTCTACTCTATCAGCTTTCCCTCTTGGTGAATGTGCAAACACCTGCCTTCACCTCCTTAAGCTGCTTGAGTATAAAAATGATGATATAGGGCCTACTTACTTATAACACCTTCACACTCACTGGCTCAGTCAGATATCCTCATTTATGAGTTGCTTATTTTTTCCAAATAGTTTGAACTCAACCAGCAATTAAATGGAACTGATAGGTAAAAAGTGACAATAGAAAAATGATGAATGAAGCTAAATATGATCAGTCTGTGAAAACTATTAAAAAAACCTGCAACTCCCTCAATAAATAAATCTGTACACATTAGAAACAATTAGCTTTCTTATTTCTAATGTGAACCCTTTACCTAATCTAAGATTCATTTCAATCCGTGGTTCAAAGTAGGGTTTAACAATTAATTGGATGAATCAATTATTGAAATACTTTTCAACTAATTTAGTTATCAATTAATTGTTAACTTTATAGTTAACGAGTATAGAGACTGTAAAATATGCTTTTAGCTGACAGAGAAACCAAATTAGAGCAGTAATTAGGTCAAAATTATAAGAGAAATGTGTAATATATTTTTAATTTACGATAAAAAATGTCAATATTCTCTATTTCGAGCTCCTCAAGTGGAAAGGTTTTAGTTCCCCCTGGTTTCATTTTTACAAAAAATCTTCCATAAACGAAAAAATAATTGACAGATTAATCGATTTGCAGAAAATGGTTAGTTGCAGTGGTTCAGAAGAGGTACTTTAGTGAAATAAGCAGTTGTACGAAAAACCGTTTTATCGTAAAACTATATAAACAATGCAATTTTCAACTATTTAACAGATGGTTTGTGTCTGATCTGACTCCATTCAGCGTATGCTCTGTAACCGCTCCGCTGGTTCTTGATCATTTGAACGCATGAATGAACCAAGAGCCAATCCAGCAAATGTTTACCTGTAGAAGAGGCATAGCCTGATGGACACGGCTTTATCCGGTCAATAAAAACTGCCATCAGGCCCCATCAAGCTGCCCTCTCTGCCCATTTGTCTTCTTTGCATGAATTCTAAAGATAGCAGATGCTCTGGCTTGGCCTGGTCTAGCTGCGGCCGGCTCCCTCTCCCACTCAGCCTTACCCAGCCTTACCCCATCCTCTGTTCCTCTCACTCAGGATCTGAGCTCATGCCAAAAGCCCTCTCGACCAGAATTGTGGGAGGAATTTGGTGGTTTTTCACTCTCATCATCATCTCCTCCTACACGGCAAACCTGGCAGCTTTCCTCACAGTGGAGAGGATGGAGTCCCCCATTGACTCTGCTGATGATCTGGCCAAGCAAACAAAGATTGAATATGGAGTGGTAGAAGACGGCGCCACAATGATATTTTTCAAGGTAAGCTATGACTTGAAATCTTCCGATTGTCATATAATGTTACTTACATAAAAGTACAGATAGTGGTGTGAAAAAGACAAACAGTAAACATGTTGAGTAAAATCTTTAACTTAAGTCAAAGTTAAAAGTAAAGATTCTACGTTTTTCATAAGTATGAGATAAAAGAATGACGTTTTTGCCTTTAATAATAGAGAATAACTTAAATACTATTCAATGCATACAAATTATGTTAATTTTACTGTCTAATTTTAGAGAACATAAATCTGACTAAGTTGTTCTAGTTTAGTTCTTGCCATGATTTATCTAAAGCTCGGACCCACATGCAGTGAAGCCCAACAGAGACACAGAGTAAAAGTTCAACGGGTTTTATTGAAGAGTATGTTGAGTTCGGTGCAGAGTTCCTCCGAACTCTGCTCGGCTGGGAACTGGAAGACGAGGGGAAGACGGACTGTTAGATTCAGGCTCAGTGAGAAATTGGAGTTGTTGATCTTGAAGGAGAGGATTTGTTGCCACTCACGTTTCCAGAGAAGAAGAGACACGTAGACTCCAGTCTGTGTGTTGGTCTTCCAGAGTTTGTTTGATTCGGTGGAGGGCGGAACAGGGTTTACCCAGAACTCAGACGGAGTGGAATGATGCAGCCGCTGGTTGCAACTTAGTTTTCCTGTGGTACTTGAACGGGTCGTGGTGAAGATGACTTCCTTACTCAGAGAGAGATCTCAGCGTGCTCAATGGTGGCTGGATCCAAACCTCCTGTTTGGAATCCGTTGCTCAGTGTTTGACTCAGTTGATCCCACTTGGGAGGAGGCGGTCCGAAAAGGTCCAGTCTGCAGGAAGGCTTCCTGCCGAAAGGCAAAAACAAACAAAGTTTTGTCTCAGGGAGAAAACAAGCGCTCAGTAAAACTCAATGTGATCTCAGCTCGGCTAGAGGACTAAAACTCAGGATACAAAAACTCAGATTAGACTCAGAATAAACAAGGCTTTGCTAGAGTTCCCCAAACTGGCAAACACTCTGGCGTCGAAGTAGTGGCAACCAGCAGCTTAGGAGCAGTCCGGTGATGAGGCAACAGCTTGCAGGTGTGTGAGGAGGCGAACCGGAGCCAGGCGCCTCCTGGAGGTGGAAGGGAGAAACACAAAAGACGAGACAAACAGACGAACACAAAAACTGGGATCCTGACAGTTCTGAATTCAAGTCTGTGATAGGATAGTATAAATTAAACTGAAGATGCGCAGCTGAATGCTTTTAAAGCTCTGATATTTATCACAGCACTGAAGCTGCTAAACGTTTAGAAGTGAAAATAGAATCATCAACATGTAAATTAATAACGTTATAAAGGTGAAGTTGATGAGGAAAGTCCTGGAGCTCAGGATCGGATCTGTTATCTGCAGTGTTTCATAAACAAACTGACTCCAACTAAACAGATTCACCTTCTGCTCTTGAGGTTTGTTCTGTGTATAGAGATAACATTTCAGTAAAAAAGAACCAATATTTTTGATCAAATGTAGGAAAAGTAAGAAGTCTTCAGAAAAATAAATACTCAAGTAAATTATAGATTCTACGAAAAGCTACCAGAATAAAGTAACTGTGCATGCACTGCAGACAAGCTTTCCCTCTTGCCTTGCATACTTTAGTCAGTTTAAAGAAATTCATGTGCATAAAAAATGATTCTCCAACATTGAGTTTATTTATTTATTCCATTTAATTTGTACAAAGGAGTATTAGGGCCAGGATAGAGATCTCTTTTTAAATACAAGAATTTAAGTCATAATATGATAATGAAAATATAATAATAAAAATTATATGATTATATTAATAAAGTAGTATTTTATAACATTCCCTAAAATGAGGAATGTCGAGCATCTTGGGAAGTTATACTTTTGCATCAGATTCACAAATAAGGAAATATTCAGTCTTTTAGCGCCAGCATCACATTATTATCAGTATATTCTGGTCTTAGCATGCTGAAACGAGTTGTGGTATGATAATTTGTAATTTTTCAACTTTATTCTAATAATTTTATGACTTTATTCTCTTAGATTTAGGACTTTATTCTTGTAATGTTACAATTTTATTCTTTTAAAAATTACAACTTCATTCTCATAATATTATGACTTTACTCTCGCATGGTTCCTATAGCATAAGGCAAGTTAAATTCAAGACTTTTTAAGACTTTTTAATGCCACTTGAAATAAAAATTTAAGACCAAATTCACAACAAACAAGAAAAACCTGCTTGCGACAACTTAACCCAAAGGTTTATTTTAACATAAACCACTGCACTAATGTTTCAGATGTTGAAAAGCTTCCCATACAGGAAGAAAGCTAAAAACACACAAATGACAGATATATTTGAACAATTATTGAACTGAATTCACAAACTTTGTTTTAGCAGGGAACAAAACAAATCAGTTTTAAAGCCCCAACATAACCAGTGCTAAGTCTTTTTTGCAGCTATTTTTCTTTGTATGGTTTTCTTAGTATGTTTGATTTGGTGATAAGTGGAGGCGTTGCAGAGACAAGGGTGGAACTAAACTGAGAAATACCGGCTGTTTCTCTGTAACTCCATTTTGACGCTTTGTGTTTCGCATGTGTGACTCCACTGCCTTAATTCCCATCGTTCTGAGCTTGAATGACTTCTAGCATAAATCCACTGAGCCTCATGTATGTTCCCTGGTTTTAGCCATGGAGGAAACTCTTTTCGTTACATTTACACTTGCTCTTATTTTCCAGACAAAAAGTTTATGGTGCATCTCCCAAATGTCCCGGCCGCAACAACGCTTTTATTGGTTCCGCTATCGGGACGGAACCAATAATGGCGAGCCGTTATTTTTTTTAAATAATAAAAAAAAGTCAATTTTAACGTTTTATTTTGATTACAAAAATAAATCGTAATAAAAATAATCCCAGTTATGATGTTTTACAAATTAAGACCTACGAAAGACTGATTTAAGACATGTTAATACCAATTAAGGCCGTAGTTTTATTTTGAAGAATTCAATGCCTTTTAAGGCTTTTTAAGGACCCGCGGGTCTCGTATTTAAAAAAAAAAAATTAAATGTATTGCCTGGCCTGATACTCCATCGTAAATTTGAGAAAAAAAAACAACAGAAAACATAAAGCTTCAACATAATTAAAAAGTCAGGCACCAAAATGTTCGCAGGACAAGTTTCAGTTTGGAATCATGACTTTTACTAACCTAAAACTGTCTGCAAAGCTGTAAATATCTGTTCTTTGATTATTTCAGAGTCCAAAGACGAAAATGCTCGATCAGAGACTCAATAAAAAGTTTGAGCGTTTCCCCACACTGGAAGTAAAGAGTAAATCCCCCTGCAGCCATTTTCCTAACATAAACCGGTTGATAAATGGGAACCATTGTCTCTTTTTTTCACATTGCTTGCTTTATTGTTGCCCCTCAAGTAGTTTTATCATAGGTAGGTCAATGCATCACAAAGGGCTGAGTTTGCTATTTTCAGCTGAATATGCAGCAGTCATTAGCTATTCGGTTCACAATTACTGTCTAATCTGTCAGATTTATTAGACCATGTTAATAAATGCTGCTTCCTCTGAAATGCTGTGGAATCTAGAGCGCTGCATGTTTAAAGCAGCTTTACACATTAATCTGGTGATATGAAGACAGTAAAAAATGAATAAATAAAGATATCTCTGTATCGACTGTGATCCTCTACAGACAATCACAATACACTGCTAAAGCTGATCTAACTATGCAGTAAAAAATTTATTAAATGTCTATATTTGCCCCTAGTTTGAGCAGCTAAACAAGACAATCTGCCACTGAAATGAGTATTTCTTTCCTTAGAATAAGATAATTACATATTCTACACTTGAAATACAATATTTTATTTTTTTTCCTTTTCAATTCAATTTAATTCAGTTTATTTATATAGCGCCAAATTCACAACACATGTCATCTCAAGGCACTTTACAGTTCAACCAGATCATACAGTCAAATTGATACAAAGTTTTCTATCTAAGGAAAACCAGTTGATTGCATCGACTCATTGACTCAAATACAATCCCCCACACTAAGCATGCTTGTAGCGACAGTGGAGAGGAAAAACTCCCTTTTAACAGGAAGAAACCTCCAGCAGAACCAGGCTCAGTGTGAGCGGCCATCTGCTGAGGCCCACTGGGGTTCAAGGAGACAGAAGCAGAGATACAAAAAGCAGCTGTAAAAGGCGGCCCCGTCCAGGAAACACGCAGCCAGGCAGACGAGCTCCAAGGCAGCTCCCATGCCAGAGGACGAATAGAGCACATCCACTCAGTCACGGTCAGAGAAACAGGACCACACTGGAAAACAGGCCGATCTCCAACATCTATAAACAAGGGTGTTGATGGAAGCAGCACAGCTGATGTTTCTTTCCTGGATGACGTCACAGCCAAACAGGAACAGACGAGGCAAAGCTACTCTGAGGAAAAGCAGAGAGAGCAGAAGGTTAGAGATTGAACTAACAGATTCTGCAGAATAGGAGAACAGAGAGAGAATGAAGCAGAATGATGAAATGGGGGTCCCTATGTCCTCCAAAAGTCTAAGCCTATAGCAGCATAACTATAGAGATAGCTCAGGATAACCTGAGCCACCCTAACTATAAGCTTTATCAAAAAGGAAAGTTTTAAGTCTAGCCTTTAAAGTAGACAGGGTGTCTGCCTCACGGACTAAAACTGGTAGTTGGTTCCACAGGAGAGGAGCCTGAGAACTAAAAGATCTGCCTCCCATTCTACTTTTAGAAATTCTAGGAACCACTAGTAAACCTGCAGATTGAGAGCGAAGTGCTCTGTTAGGAACATAAGGAACAATCAGATCTCTGATATCAGATGGAGCTTGGCCATTTAAGGCTTTATATGTGAGAATGAGGATTTTAAATTCTATTCTTGATTTAACAGGAAGCCAATGAAGAGAAGCCAGGATAGGCGAGATATGATCTCTCTTTTTAATTTTCATTAGAACTCTGGCTGCAGCATTTTGGATCAGCTGAAGGCTTTTA